GACTGTAATATTGATTATGCCCAGAGCAGGCTGTAAAGAGTCAACTGCACAATTGGCTTATTTATAGAAGTGAGTCTGGCTGAAGCCTATGTGCCAAGGTCAGAGTAACTTGCACCCAAATTCTGTTTCCACAAGTAAAACCTTCAGACTAGAAGGACAATGTTCTAATAACAATCATATATTTTGTCTCTTCTGTTCCTAATTTGAGAATGCTTTGCCTCGTCTTTATGAGCCTTGTTTAGATTAATTTCCGTAGGAACCACACGTAGCCTTTTCCCCAATTGATTGCCAATAGAAGGCAGTGCCTGGGACTGGCCGGCACCTTTGTCAGTGGCACCGGCATTGGTCATCCTGGCACTCTGCTTTCCCTCCTAGTTCTGTCTCTTAGTGCATTTTTTTCTCAGGCCTGCATTGCACACTGGGGAGGAGGGGAGCAGAGACTTATTGCAAGAGTTTCCAGCAATGCCTAAAATTAACCATCGCATGTCCCTATCACAATTTGTCAGCTGGAACTTCTGTGGCAACTGCCTAGCTTGTATTCTAGCCTCCAGTCCTCCCATATTGTCAAGAGGACTTTTGAGGAAACAAGGTTGTTATGCGGGAGTTTATTTGGTTCTAGGCAGCACAGGTAATCATATTCATTGCAATAATATATTGCTTTAGTGTTTTCCAAGCTGGAGTTATCACAGGATCGAAAGCTCTGTGCAGTTTGACCCCTCCACTTTTGCAGCCTTATGTCCTGGCATTGCCAATTTAAATACCTGCTAGCTTTTCACAGACTTAGTTGTGTGTGCTGATAATTTGCCTTCCTCTATGGCTCTGCTTTATGGGACAGAAGCAACACTAATATAAAGCAAAAGGTGATAAAATTATAGGCTATGGGAAAAGAGAAGCAGATTTAAATAATTAAATTATTTTGAGATCCAAACAACCTTTCTTTTTTTATTTGTATTAAATTCTTTTATTGGTACATTGCAGGTATACAACACAATTACATTTCTCATTGGGAATTGTACCTTTACATAATGCATCTGGGTTCTTATTTTTTCCCCATTCCTAGCCCTCCCTTCACGCCCTCCACCCTTCCCTATTTACAAAGACTTTATTTCCATTTTTTCCATTTCTCATCATTTTTTCCTTTCCCTTCTTTCCTTTCCCCTGCCCCTCCCATTACCCCTACCCCTTTGGACCTTTTCTTCCTATTTTACATTATCGATTATTCATTCTAATAATTGGTACATTTTAGGTGTACAATATAATGACATTCATCATTGGAAATTTGTACCTTTACATAGTCTCTCTTGGTTCTTCTTTTTCACCCTTGCCCAGCCCTCCCTTCAACCCCTCCATTCCTCCCTATTTACAAAGATTTTGTTCCTATTTTTCCATTTGCTCATATTAATCCCATTCCCTTCTATCTTTTCCCCTAGCCCTCCCACTTCCTTCCCCTTTGCCCCTTTTCTTCCTATTTCACATGACCTATTATACATTTAGTCCTTATTTACACTTTCAGTTTCTCACAAACAACCTTATGGTTGGGAGACAAGAAAAGGTGATTTTCTTGGAAAATCTGGTAAAAGAACTTGACTGCTATAGGTGGAAGAGTCTTGAGACTCAAGAAAGTGACAGACAGATCCAGAATTATACAGAATGTAAACTTTATTGGAGATTTACAGGTAGAGTCATGATCAAAGGTGGCAGAAAGACTGGTGGATCTTGGGACTTTGGTCAGAGGAAGGGGGCTTCTACAGTGGCCAGGACGAAAGTGACATCATTTGAGCTAGAGTGTGCCTGGTTTACCTTACTCTGATATCAAAGGTGCTAGGCACATTCCTGCTGCTGACAGTGCCAGGATCTAGTCATAAAGCTCCACATACCCCTCTAATGGTTTTATTTATAGCACTCTGGGAAACTATGTGGGGAAACAGGTCAGGATTATTCAGGGGAAATCATGGCAGCTACAACTCAAAATGGTTGCAACCCAATTAAGCTCGATCCCTGCAGATATAGGGTGTTATGATCTGAATTGTGGGGGTGGGCTGCTTAGAGGTGGAGCTCATGCCTGGTATATGCAGGGCCTTGAGTTCAGTCTCCAGCAAAACAAAAATTAAATAAAACAAAAATAAAGTTGCATTTGAACTAGATTGTGTCCCACACAAAGTCATATGTTGAAGTCCTAACCCCTAGTATATCAGAATACAAGTGTACTTGGAGATAGCATCTTTTTAGAGGTAATTACATGGAAAAGCGTTCATATGGGCAGATCCTAATCCACTATCACTGGAGTTCTCATAAGAAAGGAGATTAGAACATAGACACAGAAGTGTCCATGGGAAGGCACGAGGAGAACGGCCATCTGCAATCCAAGGAAAGAGGCCTCTTGTGAAACTAACTGTACTGACACCTTGATCTAAAACTTTCAGCTTCCAGAACTGTAAATTCTGTGTGTCTAATTCCCACAGTCTGTGACACGTCATTATAGTGGACCTTGAAAATTAATCCAGATGGAACAGGAAAGGGCCTGGGGAGCAGAGCAAGCCAAAGCTGAGAAGCAACAGAAATGCCCGCTGTGTTGTGCTCGTGGAACAGGCATCTGGGTTACTATTAGGTGACAGCTGACACCTAGAAACTGGTTGGCCAGTTTCTAGAATGTGTTGGAAATTTGCTCGGTACTTGTATTAACCATTTTCTAGAGGCTTTATTTGAGCATCTTCCAGAGAAGAGAGCTTTTCAGTACCAGGGTAGAGCTTCATCGTCAAGTATGGGTCCCTTGTTAACTGTGAGGGGGAATCTCCCCTTCCTGGACCTGCAAGGGTCTCCAGTGATTATCAGAGGCACAGATGGCAGGAACAGCATGTGGTAGATGTTCTCTTGCTGCTTTGGTTTTGAGTTATTGTGGTAGACATGCAAGGGCCACAGAGACCTTCTGTCATCCTTTTTAGCTTGGGTTGGCTGACACACCAGCATTTCTTTTAATTTTTCCTTTCTCTTCTTTTTAAAACTTAACTATTTTCAGAGCAATTTTAGATTTACAGAAAAATTGTGAAGACAGTACAGAAAATTCCCATAGATTCCATACCCAATTTTCCCTATTAATATCTTGCACTAACAAAATACCTTTGTTACAATTAATGGGCCAATATTGATATAATGTTAAATTTATATTTTATTTATATAACCTTATTTTTTATCTAATGTCCTTCTTGTGTTTCAGAATCTCATTCATGACATCGTATTACAATCAGTGCCCCTTTGTCTGTGACATGTTTTCAGGCTTTCCTTGCTCTTGATGACCTTGTCAGTCTAGAAGAGTAGGGGGCCAGGTATTTTGTAGAATGCCCCTCATTGAGATTTGTCAATTTTTTCAAGATTAGATTGTATTTATAGGTTATTAGGAGGAACACAGAGGTAGAGTGCCTTTTTGATCACATATCAAGGATACCTCCTATCCACCTGATTAATTACTGTTGGTGTTGACCTTGATCAGATGATGTGTTTTAGGTTTCTCTGATCTAAAGTCACGCTTTCCACCTCCTTTCCATACTGTGCTCTTTGAATCATGCATATGTCACCATGTAGAGCACATATTTAAGGAGTCAAGGCCTTCATGTTTTTTAAAACACAAAAAGTATGTGAAGCAGATTTTGAAGAGGAGGGCAAATGATGCAGAATTACAGGAGTGGGGGAAAAAGCTGTGCTTTGTTTATTAATTTTTAATTTTGAAAAAAAGCCTCATAACATTTCTGTGAGAAGTAAGAAAAATGTAAGTTTGACTTTGTAATCTTTTGGATAAAAATATAGTCAACCCTGGGGATTGACCTTCTTTGTTAATTTACAAAAGCATTCAGTTTTTATCTGTACCACTAGGACTTCTGTGATATTGTGAGGCCAGAGAAAGAATAATTACAATGAGGCTGTCTATTATTATTAATCGAGGGATTATAGAACATTGTTTTCTTAAAGGCAGTGCCTTGACAGTTAAAATTTACTGGTTGAATACAGTACACGGGAGTATTTTCCAGCCTATCCTTAGATGCATTCTTGTCTGAGGTTAGTTTATATTCTTGACTTTATTACTTCCCTCTCTAGTGGTCAGTTTTATAATCTCATGTTCTACTTGGATTCAGTGGAAAAAAATCAAGTGTTTAGCAGTCTGGGTGATAATTAAAAAAAAAATTAGTGTAGACCCCAAAATATTCAGTGATTGAATTTTATCTCTTCTGTTGGGTTAAAAAGTAATTTTTAAAAGTGGGGCAATGTTTAAGGTGATAAGAGTTTTAATCTGATTAAAATCAGGAAGAGAGTATTGTAAGCAGAAAGTTTTAACTAGCTACTGTCATATTAAGAACCTCAGCAGCCATTTGATTCTTAATGAAGGAACTGAATTTTCTGCAAAGCTTTATGAGACTAAGAGTGAGGGACTCCTCTGAGCATTGTCATTTCTTCACAGATAAACTTTTATCTCTAGTGCAGGAAATGGCCTTATTTTAGAGATTTACATCTGGATTCATTATTTTCCTATGGCTTTAAAATTGGAGCATTTTTAATAGTGTGATATGCCTGGATATTCTTAGAGAGTTAAAATAATTTACCGGGCTTTGAGACTGGCTTTGAACATTTCCTGAAGGACATAACAGATGATGCTGAATTTGTTTATGCAGCTGCTAGTCCTTTGGAAATGAGTTCTAGTGTTTGTGTCCAGATCTGGTTGTGTATGGTTCCTTTAAGATCCCAAGGGGATGGCATTTAATGAAAGACAGTTAAATCAGTATGAAATCTGTGAGTTCCTCACATCTCAACTCAGGAAGGAGGGAATCCTTTGTTTTCTTTTAGAAATAAGCAAAGAATTCCTACAGAGAACTCCTATTAATGCAGTAGTCTATGTGTGGTTTTAATCCTTTTGTTGCATGTAAACCATATGGGTTGAAAGTGGTGATACATCTTTGTTTCTTAGAAGAGCGGTGCATTAAGTCACATGATCTGTGTACTGTTCCCACCAGCTCCACCTGATCCACTGGAACTCCACCCTGTTTGGCAGCATCGATGAGGCCTTGGGAAAGCCACATGGTATCGCCATCATTGCCTTGTTTGTACAGGTAAATGCTCTGCTATGATTGTGGAATTGTTTAGAGATGCTTATTTCTAAGTCATTTTGTAAAATACTTTTTAGTTCTCTCTCAATTTTATTACTTAGAGGTGAAATTATATACATATGTGGAGATCACTGATAATTTAAAAATAGACAACTGGAAGTTCATGAAGGTTCAGTCTTATTCATTAGTAGAAATGGTTCATTTATTTATTAGAAATTTGCTTCAGAGAAGCATTGAGGGTCTTTGAAGAATGATTTAGAAAATGTTTCCTGAAGGCAGAGGCCATTGTATTTATGAAAAAGAATTTCAAAAAATATTTTTAGGAGCTGGATTTCTGAAAAATCTAGAAAAATCAATAATATAATCATGTAGGTGATGACGTTAGCTCTTTGTTGTTAATAATTTTCACTCAAAGATGATTTGAAGTGCCTTATAGAAAGCACTGATTAAAAAAAGACTCTCCAAGGCCATGGTAGATTTGACCAATGTGAAATTTAGATTTGAGCTTGGGGATGGACAAAGGATATTATGTCAGTTTAGTCAAACATATAAAAATAGGCCATATGCTTACAAAGGTAAAAAGTTCATCCCATTCTTAAGGCACATCTTCTAAACTTTGTCTTATCATCTACTTGGCGTGGTAAAAGATTTAGAGATAAATGATACCCTGGAAACTTTCTCTCCACAGCTCTTCCCTGGAATCTTACATAAGAGAAGGCAAGGACCAGAGATGCCAAGTAATTATTTGTAGACACACTTTGATATTAGCACTCGGACCCCAAACCAGAGCTCCATCTCCGTATGGTGGCAGGCTACCTCTTGAATGACCTTGGATTAGAACAGTGATGTTTTTCCAGTGGTCTTTAGTTAATTTTTCAAGAAGGGCTGGACACTGGGCCCTTTTAGATATGTACTTTACAGCATTTATATTGAGAATGTTATTAATTACACAATTTTATGTATAGCTATAAGGTGTTTCTCTATTGATATATGGAAGTAGCCATGTAGTTTTAGCCTCTTTAATATTTTAAAACCAGAGTCTTGAAAATATGGCACATGCTATGAATTTAAAAGCAAATCCTTAACATTTTAAAATGAATCTTCTCACTATTATGTAGGGAGTGGGCCTACATTACTTCTGTTTTATAATTACAATAAATAAATAAAATGGAATCAAAATACTGATGCAAATGTTTTTAATTGTTCATTTTGAAAATCTTTAGTCTATCAAACAAGTAATTTTGTGTTTTGGTACTGGGGATCGAACTCTGGACCTTGTGCTTGCAAGGCAGGCGCCGAAACCACTGAGCTAAATCCCCAGCCCCAAACAAGTAATTTTTAAAGACTATTTTTATAACCTGAAAAAGTTAACAGAGAATCAAACCGGAGAAGTTGAGGTGGTAGGAGGCAATATTTAATACTAAAGAATAAGAATAAAATAGAAGTGAAGAAATAGCATATATAGAAGGGATCAGTACAAGTTAGTTTCTGATAATAAATATTTGTGAATCAAATTAGATATGACTTAGTGTTTCCACTTACTGATCCTTCACGTGTAACAGGTGACCCGGACACTTAGACCTCTGGACTAAGAACCCAGCTTTGAGCTTAACATCAGGCTTCCAGGAACAGGCTGTGTCACGATAGGCACTTTCTCAGTTTGCTATGGGAAAATTCAGGTTATTTAGGTGAAAATGTCTTTCTCAGGAGACAGTCATATATTACAGAGACTGTGAGAACAAAATTTCACAAAATAATGAAGGATTGACCTAGTGTTAGATGAAGCAGAGAGAAGGGCTGAAACTCGCTCCAGGGGCTGCCTTTGGGCTGGAGATATGGAAAACTGGAGGGAGGAAGTTGGGGGCCATGTGTGTGGACTGATCTTCCCAGAAATTTGACTGGAGGGAGGAATGACAGAAGTGGCAGGAGCCAGTGGTAATTTTGAAATCTGAGAGCTTGTATTTTTAATCTGTGCAAGAAGAGCTAGTGCAAGCATAAAGTTTAAAAATCTTGAAAAGAGAAGGCATGGATAATATAGAGAAATCCCAGAGAAGATGGGGGGGTCATGAGATGCAGAGCTTATGTGGATGGATTAACTTGGAGAGGAGAGCTTTGCCTTTCTCTGAGATAGAGAGCCAGTAGGAAAGGTGAGCACAAAGTGGAGAGAGGCAGGAAATTAAGGGAGTTCATGTCTGATGACCTTCATTTCCTCTGAGACATACATTTACCAAAAAAGGGAAATGTAGGTGTGGGGGGTGGGCTTTGAAGTAGCCAAGAAGGGATGATGATAGACATGGTAGTCAGTGAGACAGATCCACTGGAGCCTGAATGTCATAGATTGTATAGGACAGTGAGTGAATGATTGTTCTGGAGAGGAGTAGAACATTCTAGAAAATCATTGTGTTGATCCATCACAGAGGAGATGATTCAGGAAGACAAGCAGATTGAAGTCTCCAGAGTGGTGGGAGTGATATCATTCGGTCTACACAGAAGGGGTAAGGGAACAAAGCCAAAAGGGGCCTGAGAGCTTTGGCTCCTGATGGTTGGTAAAAATAAAAAGAGAACAGAGCAGAAGAGAGCTGCATAATGAAAAGTATGGTTAGAGAGAATGGTCTCTTGGTGTTGAAGTTTTCAGAATGAAAGCAAATGCAGGGTGTGGTCCTAGGATTGGTTTGCTGTGGAAGAATGGAGTTGAAAGCCATGGACTGACAGATGAAGAGGTGTAAGCCAGGCATGGGGCAGGTCATCTACAGAGATGCTTAAACCTTCCAGGATGATAGCAGGAAGTGATATCTAGGAGCAAGTGACTAGTGGGTTAGTAAGTGAGCAGAAGGGCATGATGGCAGCAGTGGGGGAGGGTCCACTCAGAGGACAGCCTTGTGCCTGTGGGCCAAAGTATCAGACTGAAGGTGACATCTGAACACTGACTGTCTTTCATTCCTTCTCCCCTGGAGAACACCTAGTGTCTGCTAGATGGGCCTCAGAGAAATACGGCCTGGGACAGACCTACAGGCTTTCACATAGACCAGAGGTGGTGGGAGAGCTGGTGAAGTACATGAGATCATCCTGTGTCCAGGCAGCACAGAGGAAAATAAGGCAAGAATGAGTTAGAAGTGAAAAAATACAGATAGAGAACTGTCCAGAGTGATTTATATTTTTGGTAGTGGTAAAAGATGCCAGAGGTAAGAGGTAAGAAACTAATTGACCCCATCATCCTGGTGGATTTTGGGCATCAACTTGTGTCTTTACCTGAACTGTTGTGGGATTTCGGCAGTTGCATGTTCAGACTATGATCTATGTTTGAGTTTTTATGGTTCTAACCTCTTTAAATAAAAATGTGGCAAAGAAGGAAAGGAAAGTGACAGAATAATAACTGGAGTTTGTTGTATGATACTACTTGGTACCCATAAAGTAATATTTATGGATAGAAGGAGCCAGTAATAGTTATTAAGTGCTACTATATGATATATATATATATATATACTTGATATATATTCAGATTAAGAAAAATAGTGTATGATATTATTTGAATTATGATGCATTGAGTACTATTCTGAGTTCTGGTTTATTTAATCTGTCTTCAACTCTATCACTTTATTCTCCCCATTGTGTAGACAAGGAAGAATATAATGTTTAGGTAAACTTACTAAAGGTCACCCAGTAAAAAGTGACAGAGTCAGGGTGAGAACCTGCGGCAGTCTTATGCTAGAGGTTCGTTCCTCAACCACTAGGTCATGTAGCCTTACAGTGTTCAGATGTGGACTCTTTCCAGAGAATATAATCTAACAGAAGGTGTGTGAAATGGAATTAGACCACAACTAGACTTTCAGGCATGCAAATGTTACCTTTTGGTTAAACCAGTAAAACAAAGAAATTTCATTTCTCCTGAAGTTCAGGACAGGGCTTCTGCCTGGGATCCAAGCTCATATTCTCAAATGGGTATGTTTGTAAAAGGTATTTTTTTTTAACTTCGGAAGATTAATTTTTTGCTTTAGAACCTATCTCGGAATGAAAAACATTTAGAAAACAGCAAAAGTCCTGATTATTTTGAACTAATTGGCCTGTCTTACATTGGTTCCTGTCTGTTTTTCTTTTCCCTTGTGTATTTCACAGTTGGATAAAATTGAGAAAGCTGGAGAATGTGTGAACATTGCCAGCTGCTCTAGCATCTCATATGTGAGAGAGAAAAAGCTAAGAGCAACACTAATTATTATCTGAAGTAATAGATGCATTTGCCCTTCTCTATTGCCACGGGCCGTTAAGAGTTAATTGAAAAGTGGAAATCAGATGGTAATTAAAATTTAAAAGTCAAGAATACTAAAGAGAAAATTTTTTTCATGTCTCAAATTTCTTTGGAGATTTTGTGCTCTAAAAATATGTTATATTTTAAAATAGAAGTCAATGAACAGCTTATGTGCATATGTATTGACTTATAATCCTTTAATGGTTTTCCATTGCATTTGGGACACATCAGTTATCTTGAGTGACCTACAATATTTAGCAAGGTATTGCCTACTCATCCATCCTCCTAGATCAGTACACTCCCTTCATGTTGTCTGTCAGTTCCTATGGTACAATATTGTCATTTATTTAAGAATAAAAATAGCTATAAAATTATGACCAGTGATAACTGAGAAATGTCTTAATTTTGGTAATTTTGACTTGTGAAATCACATACCAACTTTTCTAAGTTAATAAAATAATTCTAACTTTGATACAGTTTTTATAACAATAATTCATAAATGCCAAAGGTAAGACTGCAAGATTTTGGACATGTACCAAATAGTTTTAATTCCAAAATATCCTTGACATTTTGATATAGCAGTCTTTTGTGATTTGGTGTATTATATAAAGTACAGTGAGTGACATTTATAAGTGGCTTGATGATTTCAGAATAGATTCTTGGGTGTCATATCTAATACTTCATTGTCTTGTTACAACTTTAATTACCTCTAGTAAATGTTGGCCTGGCTATCAACAGAAAGGTTATTTCATTCCCCAAGAATTACATTCAGGTGGACCGGAGCTTTGGTTCTGGTGGTTATTTTGAGTAAAAGTAAGCAACATTTAAAAATGCTGTGTTTATGGTTTATGCTTTGTATATTTCAGATAGGGAAGGAACATGTTGGTCTGAAGGCTGTGACTGAGATCCTCCAGGATATTCAGTATAAGGTAAATCATTATTTAAAGGAAAATAGAAACATATTTTGTAAGAGGTCCCTGAGATCATCTTTAGGCTTGGTAATTCTCTAGAAGAGCCCAAAGGACTCAGAAAATCTACTATACTATGGTTATAGTTTATCACAGTCCAAGTTTACAGATCAAAAATCAGCAAAAGGAAAAGGCATATGGGACTGATGTCTAGGGGAAACCCGGAGTAAGCTTCTAGATGTTCCTTTGCAGTGAGGTGTCATGAGTATGCCCCAATTCTCCCAGAAGTGATGTGTTATCACAGTGCCCATGAAATGTTGCCAATCAGGGAAGGTCACCCAAGCTTAGATGTGTAGACATTTTATCAGAGATTGGTCATACAAGTATGTTGTACCTGCCTAACTGGCGTCAGCTCCTCCACACTCCATCAAGACTTAGCTTCCATACATAAATCTCATTGTCAGGATAAATCTACCAGGTCAAACTGGTGCATCATAGCTCAAGGATAGGGATACAATATCAGGAGCTCATCAAAAGGCCTCAGGGATAGAAAACACACTTATAGGGTAGAGTATTCTAATGGTTTTCAGGAGTTATCTTCTAAGAGCCAGCCAAGGGCTAATCTTGAAAACAGATCTTACTTGGAATATAGATGATTTGACCAGCACAGGCCTGCAGAGTTAATCTTTCTGGCTCATTCATTGTAGCAAAGTTGTGTAAACTAAATACATTTTTGTAAATCAAAGTATTTATGTTTAATAATAACAATAATAATACAAGTATACATATTTCATAAGATAATATTCTAAAGAAGGTGATTTAGATCAATGTGGTCCATCATTGCTGAGAAGCTAAGCTCTTATGAGCAGAACCTATGCCCATATTGAATTTAATGTGTTTTTCCATGGGTAGGTGAATGATTTTGTCCTCTATAAAACATATCTGAGTTTCTGATCTTCACTTCTGGATGAGAAGAGCACCCAGAGTAGATACTAATGATGAATTACTACATCCAGTGGCACAGGATGTCAAATTTGTTAGCCAGGTTATAAAGCCAAAGAGATTAGGAACTGAGATCCAGGCTGGTGAGAGGAAATCATTTCATAAGACTACCCTGAGTCAGGGTTCAAGTGTGTTACATCAACCATTCAGTCTAAGTCTTGGGTGTGATTGTGCTAGAAGTAGAAAAAATTGTTAATACAGGAGAGATGGACACCAATTGTAAATTCCATTGTGGAAATTATAGGGGAAATTGAATTACAATAGTAAAGAAAATAGCCATATTTAGAGTAGAGGTATCTTGTTGGAGCCAAGCAATCTTGCTCCAATGGAAAGACACAAAGATACAGCTGTAAACCTAGAGTACTTGATAGTACCGTTCCAAAAAGATTTTAGTCTAGATATTTAGTGCTAGAAATTGCTTAACAATTTATAAATTTTAAATTAATGTGGAGTCAATTTTTAAAAATCTTTTTCAGGGGAAGTCCAAAACAATACCCTGCTTTAATCCTAATACTTTATTACCAGGTAAGCATTTATCTGATTAAATGAGCTTTAACTGTGGGTATAACCATACTGTTTTCCTCAGAATATAAAATTATTAAAGTTTCTTTGCAATTTATATTCTCTATAGCAAGCATCAGTTTCTGATTACTCTATATACTGGAGTAAAGTTTTTGTTTATGGTAAAGAAACGCTTTGCCACTAGTTCCATTAATCCACAATACCTTTTTAAGGATTGTCATGTGTAAAATTGCTATCTCTTTGTAAAATATACCAGCATAATAAAATAACCTTGATACATCTCTAAAATGGATTAGTGAATTTCTCATTAATCTTTAGTGTTAAACTTTATATAAAATTTTATAAGGTAACTTGTAAAATATTTTTTAGGTACTATTCTAATTGTATGTGACAGGTAATACTTATATATAAAATACTTGCAGTGTTATTTGGAGTTCATGGTAGTTTTATATAAAATTTTTGTCTTCACATTTCTCTGCCTCAATTATGTACTGTTTCATAGTGCTTCACACAAAACCAAATAAGCTGATACATTGTATCTTATCCTTTCTATATTTAATTGCTTTTAAACAATCAATTTCTGTCATGCAAAATATTTATCCATTGTATTTAATCACAAATTCCTCTAATGCAGAGCTAAATTATTTCATAAGAATAATTTATTTTCTCTTATAATATTATGATTTTAATATTTTGCTGCTGAAGAAGCAGTAAAGAGGCAACTGCAACCGAAAGGTTAAAATGCAGGCTTTGGTCATGTGTGGTGGCACATGCCTCTAGTCCTAGCAGTCGAGAGGCTGAGGCAAGAGAATTGCCATGGGTTCAGAGTCATCCTGGGCAACATAGTCAGTTGAAGGCCTGCCTGACTTACATAACAAGACCTTCTCTCAAAAAAAAGTATATATATATATACACATATATGCTTTGAAGCCAGACTCTGTGGGTTCAAATCCTGGCTCTATGTGTTATTCTCTGAGTGACTTAGGCAGGTTGCTAACTTTCTGTGTGATTTATTTTCTCCATCTGTAAAATTAGGCTAGTAATAGTATCTATCTCATTAGTTTGTTGTGAAGATTAAAAGAATTGATGTACAATGCTCAAAACAGTACCTGGGATGTAGTTCAAGAAATAGTAGGTGTTATTTAGCAAGGTAAATCCTCTAATAAAATAAAAATACAAAACAAAAAGATGAATATATTCTTCATAAATTAATTAAGCTTGATAGATTTGCATAGTAACCAATTGATAGAAATCACTATAAATAGAAAATTCATCATAGTTTTCATAAATTATTTTTTCTGTGATGATTTGTTTGAGAATACTTAAGTGAGGCTCTAACTTAAACATGATATACCTCTGAGAATCAATAGGATAGTTTGTAATTTTGAAAATTATTGTTGAGGTCTTCTAGATTATTGTTAATTAACTTGTCTTTTCATGACACGTCCACGTGGTTGCACAGACCCTCTGCTGAGAGATTACTGGGTCTATGAAGGCTCGCTTACTATCCCACCTTGCAGCGAAGGTGTTACCTGGATATTATTCCGATACCCTTTAACTATATCCCAGCTACAGGTGAGTATGCTCTTTTAAATGTTTCAGGGCGAAGTTCTGAGTTAAAGGTTAGATATTGTTTCTGTAGGAGGAAAATGTCTGTTTTATGTTTTAGTTCCCTTTAGATCAGTCATACCTTTTCAAATGAAAGTTAAATGTCTCGAGCCAGTGAAAGCAATGGAAAGGTCAAGGATGAACAAGACCCAGTGGTCATTTATGATATACAGTTTAAAAGTTAGTTTTTATAGCATAAGTTGAAGTCACTGAAACAGCCAAACTTTTTGATTAGTTATTTATTCCTTTATGTGGGTTTTCCCAGGTGTGGGAAAGAAAAGATCTAGAAGTAAAGTGAGAATGCTGATATTTCTATAAATGGCACATGGACTTCCTGATAGTTCTTGCTCGGCATGCACAGGAATGCTGTGTGGATGGGCAGTGGAGTTAGAAAGAATGCTCTGGAAAGTTTTGGATTATTCTTTGACTTTACTTATGGTCAACAACCTGTGTGTTTTGGACTCTGCACAGGTGCTGTAAATGCTAAGCCAAGATGTTGTATTGGTGCTGACTTGTAGTACCAGTTATTTGTGAGACTGAAGTGGGAGAATTACTTTAGCCCAGGCGTTCAATATGTACTAGTGTGGGCAACATAGCAAGATATTTTTGTCTCAAAAAACCCCCCAAAGAAACAAAGATGATAAATGCTAATACACAAGAAGCTGGACCACCCAAGTAAATGACCACTGGGATGTTAGCTGGTAGAACATGAGGCAGCATCATTTTAATACATTTAAACAATGATTTTGAAGGGTTTGGGGATGTAGCTCAGAGGTAGGGAACTTTTCTTGCATGTACAAGGTCCTAGGTTTGGTCCTCAGCATCACACACACACACACACACACACACACACACACACACAAACATATTCAATAAACTTTCATATTATTATAAAAGAAATACTTTAAATGTCTCTTGTCCTTCAGGAATCTGTCAAAAAGACATATTCAGAGCAAAACTTTAGTAAATTTTGTTTGTCCTTAAATATTTAAAATCCTTCTTTCAACATTTAACATTTTCTCTTTATTTCTGCTTTTATAGGGATTAATTTAAAAAGTTTCCTGTTCAGCCTCTTCTCTGCATGTCTTTCATTATTTTATGAACTTTTACAATACCACTTCTGGACATTCAAATTTCTAGTATGACAAATCCTAATTTCTTTATGTATTCATCTATTTGTTCTTTTAAGAAACTATTCCTGACTGCCAAATAGGCACAGGGGATTTAAACACAGTTTTCACTCTAAAAATCTTTACTATAGAGTTAGGAAGGGAGATGCTATCTAAAGAAAACTGTAATTATAATAAGTAAGGTGGCCTAGAAACCCATCTGGAAGAAAACCAACCAGACTGTAAACCTCAAGGAGTAATTCCTGCAAAATGCTAGAAGTTTGGTGATGAAGAGTGAAGAAGTTACAAATTTCAGTCTTGGCTGATAATGTCCAGACAGCAAAGATGGCAGCTTCTACAACACATAAACCTCAAATTTTCAGTGGCTTGTACTACCTGTTTCATACTGACACATGATCCAACATGCATGTTTCTGATTCACAGCGAGAGCTTTCATATGCAATCATTCAGAGGGAATCCAGGTTGAGAGAAACTTCTGATTTCAGAGCCTTCCTTTGAATGTTATCCTGAAGGGGTATGTAGCGAGCAGGAAAGACAAGAAAGCAAATGATTTCAAGAGGGATTTTTCAAGTGCCAGCCCTAGTAACGGTAAACTACACTTGTGATTAATTTCTTTTGGCTACAACTTGTCATGTGACCACACCTACCTGCAGGGGAAGCTGGCAATTATATTTGAACTTCACGGTCAAGAAGAATGATTGTTACTACTGTGGCTTGATGTGGGAACTTGTGATATTACCAGCAGGGCAAAGCATCTACAGAGTCACAGAGGCAAGAGAAAGTAGAGGGTGTTTAAAGAATGCACACAGTGTGAAGTGCTTATCACAAGAGGTGAGGTTGGAGAAGGGAACAGGAGTCTGACTTTTGTCACTGGGCCTGGTGCTGTGCTGTGCTGTGCTGTGGAGGGTGGGCTTTCTCCCAAAGATGGCAAAGAATCATTGGAATGTTGTAAACACGCAGATACATGACTAGGTTTCAACTCAAAAAACCTCTTTGTAGCTGTAGTATGAAGATGCAAATCTGAGTCAAGGGTGAGGCAGTGAAATGAAGGAAAGACAGCGACTTTAGAAATAATAAAGAAATATGGGCCAGGGATTTAGCTCAGTGGCACTTAGCCTGCCTTGCAATATCAAGGTCCTGAGTTTGATCCCTGGTATCAAAAAAACAAAACAACCAAACAAATAGAAATAATAAGGAAGTAGAAACAGAACTTAGTAGCTGATAACATAGGAAGGATTTCAGGGAGGAGAGACCTCCATGTTATTCTCTAGATGTGATTTGGGTTTATTAAGTGTCACTCTTCAGCATGATAGAGAATCAGAGAGGATGTATGTTCATGGTTGTGGATATCCAAGAAGGATATAGTGTGTCGTTGATGGGTGAAGCCATGACTATAGATGTGGAGATGCTTCAGGGAGAGAAAAGACGTGATCTTGAAAACTGGAGAGCGGCAGCTAGCTATCCAGGGTGTAACGGTTCAAGAAGTGGGGAAGGAAAGAAGTGGATGGAACACCTAAATACTGAAGGAGAGAGGAACTTCAAGAAGAAGAGGACTGAATTCTAGACTATGAAATTGGAAACCCTTGCTTAGTTGAAATATTATTTCAGATAAGCTTACTATATGATAGGGTAAAAGAGGTGATTGCATGGATTTGAATGAGTGCAATTTTCTTTTTTTAAATGCTCTGTGACCATTAAATAACTTTAAGTTATTTAATATAAATAGTGGTCAAAGCACTAGGAAGCCAATGATAAAAAAAATTCAGTTGGATCATTGCTTGAAAATAAGATTATTCTAAGAACAGAAGAAAAATACCAAGCTTCATCAAGTCTAAAAACAGAAATTTTAAGACCTGTTTTAATTTCACACTCATTAAAATGTGAACAAATATTAATCTTAGAAGTTATAGAACATGTTATGATACAATGGCATCTGAACAAATATGTGTATGCATACATACACAGAGATGAAATGATCGTTTTTACTATCTTTTTTCTATTTTTTCCCCCATCTTTTTCTGTTTTTCCCTTCTGTTTGTCTGTTTCAATTTCTTAGTTTATCTGCATGTTCATATTAACTGTCTCTAGTTTTTACTTTCTCTTTCAACTTAAAGTGACACCAGTGAAATAACAGTATCAATGTGTTTATTGTTTTTCAACCCATAGGAGTATGTCTCTAAGAACTTTGAAAACTGGTTCAAATTTTTCCTTCTCCTCCTCCCCTTCCCATTCCATATTCCTATGTTTTGAAAAGTGAGACTTTTCCTAGACCTGACACCCTGAGTAGTTAGCATGGTGCTGGGGATTAAACCCAAGGGCTTTGTGCATGTTAAGCATGTGCTCTACCACTGAGCTATATCTCCAGGACTGAGAGCCAAGGAAGTTGTCTGTATTACTTTCTTATCACTGAAACAGATTGCTGGACGTCAACAATTTAAAGGGGGAAAAGCTTATTTTTGCCCATGGTTTGTAGAGGGTTTAGTCCATAGTCAGCTGGCACCAAGGCAGGGCAGCATGGCAGAGGTGCATGGCCATGGAGAAACAGCTCATGAGATGACAGCAAGAATCAGAGGGTGATCAAGGAAGGAGGGAGGGAGATGGATCCTTCCACACCATGCTCCTGTGACCCACCTCCATCAACCAGGCTTTACCTCCCAATGTCACATTTATCTATAAACTGATTTGCATTTAGCAGACTAATCCATGGATGAGTATCACTCCCCGTGATCCAGTCACTCCCCAAAAGCCCCACTTAAGAGGGCATAAGGCTTTGGAGGGACATCTAGATACAAGCCATGAAAGAAGTCTTATCATCAGGACCACAGAAAGTTTCTAAAGGTTCTCTGTACTCCATTTGAGATTGAAGGAGTTGTTACTCTAAAGACAGGTTGCCGTAGAGACACAGCATGGTCATATTTGAAAATTATTTGAGATTATTCGAAAGGTCTGTTGTGGATTTTTATCTATGTCCATTGCCATAGTTTGAACCTGTCTTTTCCAAAATTCAGGATGGCCAACATGATAGTATTAAGAGTTGGCATCTTAAAGAGGTAATTAGGGCAGGAGGCTCTTTGCTGGCTAATGGGACTAAAGCCCTTATTAAAGAGGTTTCCCAAATACAGCTCACTTTCTTGTATACTCCCCGTGTTCTGCCATGTGAAGATGCATGCCAGATACCAGCCCGTCACTCTGGGAATCCCCAGCATCTAGAACTGTGATAAAATTGATTTCTGTTCTTTATAAATTATCTAGTCTCAAGTATTCTGTTATGGTGGCACACGGTAGATTAAGATATCCATGGGTCTCCATGAGTGTACATCAGAATCCCTTGGAGGGTCTGATTGCTGGGCCCTCCTACTGGAGATGCCGACTCAGTAGATGTAGAATAGCAGCTGGCAACCTTAATTTCTATTCTGGGGCACACATTGAGAACTACTATTTCACACCTCCTTTTATTTATCCCCACCATAGTTTAGATCTGTGCTGTAATTTCAGAATTCTGAGGTTCTAAGGATGAGTGTGAAGGTTAACTCTAGACCAGCCTTGTCCAATGCAAACATCATGTAAACTACATACGTAGAGTTGAATTTCCTAGAATTCATAATAAAAACGTCAAAAGAAACAGATAACACTTATTCAGATAGCATATTTAACCCAATTTATCCAAAATACTGTCATTTTAACATGTAGTCAGTATAAAAATCATCAATGAGATGTTTACATTCCTTTTTTAAAAAATTCTTTTATTGGTACATCGTAGGTATACAACACAATTACATTTCTCATTGGGAATTGTACCTTTACATAATGCATCTGGGTTCTTATTTTTTCCCCATT